GGGAGGCAGAGGCAAGCGGATCGCTGTGAGTTCAAGGACAGCCTGGTCTACAAATGGAGTCCAGGACAGCCAAGGCTATATAGAGAAGCCCTGTTTCAAATATATCATTAGATTTTTATAACAAAATTGTGAAATCTCAACAGCCTAGACATCATTGCAATCCTCTATTGAGCTCTGGGATTACATGCATAAGCTGCCATTACTGGTTCAAACTGTCATTTATTTGAGACAGGTCCTCTTATATTCCAGGCTTTCCTCAGAATTGAAGCTTTGCTGAGGATGACCCTGAACTTAAGATAATTCCTTTCCCAAAAGCTGTGTTTCCAAGCTTCCAGGCCCAGCGTATCTGATGAGGAATACCAAACTCAGGCTTCCTACTTGCTAGGTAAGCCGTCTACCAGCTGAGTTATAGCCCCAGCTTCTACAGTGCTTATTTTATTATGAAGAAATCCCGGCATGCTGGCGATCCCAATACTTGGGAAATAGAAGCACTAGGAGGGGTTCAAATCCAACTGTGCAACAATATGAGTTAGAGGCCAGCATAGGCTATTTGAGACTTTGTATACAAAATTTTTAAAAAAGACCAACCTTTTTGATCATGGCCTGTTACCCTACCTTTTTGTCTGTCTGTATGAACTTCCTTTTCTCCACCAATCTTTTTTATGTGCTTGTTTGTTTGTTGATTGCAACAGGGTCTCACTGTGACCTTTGACTGGCTTGGAACTTGTTATACAGAACAGATGGGCATGGAATTCACAGAGATCTGTATGTGTTTGCCTCCTTGTTCTTAGAGTAAGGCATGAACCGCCACCATACATACCTGGCTCTTTGTTGTTCATGTTGTTGTTGTTATTATTATTATTATTATCATTATTATTATTATTATTTTCGAGACAAGGTTTCTCTGTGTAGCCTTGGCTGTCCTGAACTTGCTTTGTAGACCAGACTGGCCTCAAACTGAGAGCAACCACCTGCCTCTGCCTCCTAGAGTACTGGGATTACAGGTACGAACCACCATAATTACTTTTTGTGTGTGTATTTGCCAGAGACGAAAACCAGGATCTCTCTGCCACTGACCTCCAGATAGGCCATGATCCCCCAGGTAGCATATATAGGCATAAGCTCATGATCGTTCAGCCTTGGCCTCCTGCTCAGCTGCCCTAACAGGCCTGTTCTTCCTGTTAGCTCTACTAAAAAAAAAGAAAAAACACAAACAACAAGGAAGGTTCAACTCGGTGCCACTGACCTGGAGGGAAGAAATGCAGAGAGCAGTTCTTCACACTCACGCTGGTGGTTTTTCTGGAAAAGAAGGACATGACAGCCACGAGGAAGGGAGACCCGGGGGAGGGGTTGGACAGGTGGTCCAGGAAGAATGTCTCAGACTTTTAAGCAGGAGTCAGTAAGGAAGGAGAAATGGTGAGAAGAGCCAAGGCAGAGCACCACCCGGACAAAGACCTGAGGAGACGAATAGGAAAGAAAGCCCACAGGGCTGTGGAACAGGTGATCAGGACAGCAAATCTGAGCCCCAGGCAAGGAGAGGACAACTGCAATTTTGGAAAAAACAAAACAAAACAACAACAACAACAACAAAAACTCTGGGTAAATGTAGAGTAATTTTAATTCAGAATATGGCTGCTCTGGCAAGAGATCACATCCAAAGAACTTCTAGGTCTGTGTGATCCTGCTTGAATACAGACACCTTTAATCCAGGAGACAGAAGCTAGCAGATCTCTGAGTTCAAGGTCAGCCTGGTATAGAGCAAATTTCAGGTAAAGAAAAGCTTATGTCCAGGCGTGGTGGCACACACCCTCAATCCCAGCACTCAGGAGACAAAGGCATGCAGATCTCTGAGGTCTAGATAGTTCTGTTCAGTCAGTTCAGTTGATTCTGTGAGTTGAGAGGCAGCAAGTGGAAGTTAAATCTGTGTCAGTTCAGTTCCTGGAATTCAGAGACAGTTTTATCTGGAGAGTTTTACAGAGGCAGGTTGAAGAGAGAACAGGCTAGACACAGATAAAGATAAAATTAGCCAAAGACAGAGAAAGAGCCAGAAGATTAGAAGAGATTGCTAGAATTGATTTGAGGCCAAGAGAGAAGCCAGTTTGAGTCATTCATCTTGAAGAGGAGTTTGAGCCAGAAGAGGTGAGTTGAACCAGCCATCCAGAGTTCAGAAAGAAAAAGAAAGAGTGAGCTTATTCAGAGTAAGTCTCAGAGGCTGAAAACGTTTTTCTAGGCCTAGGTAAGACTACATGGAGGCTAGAAGCTTCCATTACTAGGCCCTGGTTTCCAGACAGAAGTAGTAAGCCTCCAAGACAACAATTACCTTAGGAGAACAAAAGTTACTTTCACAGTTGAGGAACTGGGCTCCCTGCTCCTCGAGAGAGCTGTGAGCCAGGGTTGTGACTGGGACATGACCTGGTCTGGTTATGCATTTGCCATCTGTCTCATTGTTGTGTAGTTATCTGCTGGTTGTTCACTTTCCCATGTAAGATGCTTGCACAAGTCTAGATACTTTAAATCCCTATTGTGCCAAATCATACTCCTCCATTCCCAGTTTATTAGGGATAACTGCAATGGAATTAAAAATCTTTTCAAAATTCCTTATTGACATTGGGATCTGGCCTGGTCTTGGGCTGTAGTGAAGCTAGAATGAAAACATTTTGACTTCCAAATGAATAAGGCCTGTTTTAATTCTGTGAGGGCCACCTTGGCATTTGTTCTCCTATCTGCTGACAGTGCCGGTGCAGCCAGCCCTTGAGCCATGAGGTGGCTCAGCAGATAAAGGTGCTTGCCACCAATCCTGAGTTGAACTCCCGGGACCTGTATTATAGAAGGAGCAAACCTACTCCACAGAGTTGTCCTCAGACCACACATGTGCCCTGGCATGCTCATGTGCTGCCTGGCACAAAAATATTTAAATGTAATTTTCAAATATTAGAAAAAAAATACAACTCTTATTCCAAAGGAAACAAGTGGTGATTCTGAACTAAACTGGAGTGACCAAGGTTCAGTAATATGATGGAGACTAGTTTGTCATTAATGAATATCATATTCCACTATGGAAGAGGTTATGGAATATTTTATAATATCATAAAAATAAGCCATAAATCAATGCATTTTCCAAGTATGGGCCTCATCAGAACACAGATTTCTCTCTCTCTCTCTCTCTCTCTCTCTCTCTCTCTTTTTCTCTCTCTCTGTCTGTCTCTGTCTCTTCCTTTTTTTGAGACAGGCAGGATTTCTTTGTGTAGCCTTGGTTGTCCTGTAATTCACTCTGTAGACCAGGCTGGCATTGACTGAGAGATCTGCTTGCCTTTGCCTCCATAGAGCTGGGATTAAAAGTTTGTACTACCACAGCTCTGTCAGAAATCTCTTCTATAGATGAGATGTCCTAAAATTCTTAGCTTTATGGTTGGTGGAAGCTAGCTGTGTGAAAATGTCACAGTACATTTCAGAATTTGTTCCTGATTGTCAGGAGGGTGTTAGCTGAGATGCAGTAGTTGGTAGTAAATGGCTACTGAGGAGGACTGAAGAGAATTGATGCCATTTATGGTTTCTGAAGCACAGCTTTCCATCCCTCCATAGTCTCCCTGCTTGATGCTCTCAGGTGTGGCTTCTACAGGGAACTACAACTCAAACTCTAATAGCTGAGATGGATTCATATGTTCCTTTCAGATATGTGGAAACAATAATAAAAGAATTCCTAGCAACCAGCAACATGCTTTACTCCATGGTAGATCTCATCTATTGCTCAGTTGGATTCCAGAATGTGGAGGTTACCTTTGGGACCATGGAAAACTATTAACCATTGGTGTCTGTTCTTTTCATCTTATGAGTGAATGGGCCATAGGATACTCTGTGGGATGGCTCAGCGACAGTGAGCTGTGCCAAAAAGCCAACTGTGTGAGACAGAGAATACCCATGTACACGAACCTTCCTCAATAGAACTCTAAAGGGACAGAATGGTTGGTGTCATGTTCTGCCAACTATTTGTAAAAAAAGTAAAATAGTTGTGTCTCATGTGGGTTTTATATGTTCTACAGTTGTCTAATGTCCATTAAAATTCCCAGTGTTTGGCCATCAGTTTGCAACATTAGTTTTCTGATCTCTTCTAAGTGCAGAGGCTGTTAGTGAAATAGTGTGCGGCTCCAGGCATGAATACTAAACTCATGGAGGCTTCAAGAAAGCTATTACTGTCTTTTTAAGACTGGCAACAGGTTACATTTCCTCTCTGAGAGAAAGCCAGAGAATCTTCAAACCAGAAATGGAGTTAATGAAGTACTAGTCAGGCTTACTCATGGTTTTATGATTGAGCAATTAAGAAGCAAAAGCTGAAATCTAGAAGTTGGAATCTGAAGACACATAACATCCTCCATAAATGGGCTTAAAAGTAGCTGCCCTAAGGTTTCCATGAGGATTTGATGCTGTGAGTAAATAGCCCAGTGTCTCCTTCAAAGCAGATTCTCTGTAAAGCTGAGCAAACATTAGTGCTATTTTACCTAGGAGGAAATCTAGGCATGGAGGGTCTCTGTGAATGGAAGGTTTGGATCTGTACCCAATGCTTTTCTAGGTGTCTCTAGACATCCCTCAGGAAGATGTGGTCTCAGTCACTGTGTGTTGCACCATGAGAGATGCTTTACACTCTCACTCAGTCCATCTTGCTACTGATAAACTTGGTTGAGATTTAGGGACCATCCACTGTGGCACTGAGCAGAAAGAGCTTTGTGTCCACCATCTTTGCCATCAGGAGTTTGGTCTTGGCTTAGAGTTCTATCAAGGGAGCACACTCTAACCTCTGCCTTCAGTTTTCTCTGCTGCCATATTTGTTGTAACCAGAAGTGATATAGATGGCTATATGTGAGGAAGATCTGGAAAAAAGAATGTGTTTGGGAGGACAGAGACCTATGTGATTCATACAGTTAGAATGGGGATCTGCTCAGACATACAATCCCGAGTGCCACAGCTAACCCAAGTGTCTTGTCCTTGTCCATCAGGTCAATAGCATGATGCATCCTCAAGTCTTCCTCTTAAGCCTCATACTCCTTCTTCCAGGTAAGTGAGCAGATGAGCTAGGGATGCTGAGGAGGGAGAAGAGATGACAATCCTTGAGCTTTTTTGATTATGGGCTATGTAGTGAGAAGAGAACCAGGACAAATTGTAGCTCCAAAGAACTTGTGTGACCTGTATGAATTTCAAAACAGCTAAATAAACATGATCCACAGGAATACGTGAGGCAAGGGGGTAAAACACATGCCTGCATGTGATGGACAAGTAATGGCGGTCGTAAGTGCATGCATGTGATAGTCAAAGGTTAATAAAAAGTCAAAAACAGTGTTTTCCATCCATGGTGGCTGGTCACAGTCAGCCTTCATTATTGGTTCTCCTCCTGCCTGGGGGCTGCTTCACGAAGTCAGGAGGAGCAGAAGATTAGAAGAGTGTCTGGAATGGCTGATGAGAATGGTACAGGGATCACACATGCTGGAACCAACAGGGAGCTGCTTCAACTTTAATTCCAAAGAACAAAGGTTAAATACTCCTTAGGGAAGTGGATGGGGGGGGGCGGGCTCCAAGAATAGGTTTACATAATTGGTTGGAATAGGCATTTCAAGGATGCTTGATTTGCATTATACAGAACCCTCCTATCTTAGGAACAGAGTGTCGGTACCTAATTAACATAGGTGCAGGGAGGGGAGAGCTAGCCAGGAGCTGTGTCAAAGGCCTCACAGCTAGTGTGGTTAGGGAAGTCTGTGTCTAAAGACACTCTCCAGATGGAGTCATGCAGAGAGCAGGGGACCCTGCTGAGGAGAGGGAGTTCTATCTTTAGAGCCCCTGAGCTCCTAATGACTATCTGGTCCAGGCAAGAACTGCAACCTCAACCAGCAGGGTGCCTCCAACACTTCATTACTCTTCTTTTGGTTTTTCAGAGCAGGGTTTCTCTGTGGGGCCTTAGCTGTTCTGGACTTGCATTGTAGACTAGCTTGGCCTCCAACTCACAGATATTTGTCTGCCTCTGCCTCCCCGAGTGCTAGGATAAAAGGCATGCACCACCATACCTGGCTTTTCTTTTTTTTTGGCATTACACTGTTTTGTGCCTTTTTCTTTATTTAAACAACTTTAAATTATGTACCTTAAAACATTCTAATTAAAAATATTCTATTAAAAAGACAAAAGAAGGTATAGCATAGTTGTCTTTGAGACAGAGTCTAAGTTATTGGATAGTGGTCTCAGACTCTGTAGGTAGCTGAGAATCACTTCAAACCTTTTGATCCTCCTGCCTGTACCTCCCAGGAGTTCAGATCATTGGTGAGAAAATATATTTCTATGGCTTAATTAAAATAGCATGTACTTTATTTGTGATCCTAAGAAAGGTATTTGGCAAAATCACTTATGAGTGTCCCAGTAGGGAATATACTTATTTAATACAACAAGGAACATGCTTTCTCAGATTGTGTGCTATACCCACAGCCTAGGCCTGTGTGTAAGTGATTAGTTAGTGAATCTCACAGCTCATTCTTTTGTTCTTTGTTGCTTAATTTTTGTTTCCTGCTCTGGGGAATCCAACACAGGGGCTAGCATAGGCTAGCCAAGCACAGTATCCTTATAGCCTCAAAATTAGGGCCACTGTGGAAGGTATTGGTATTAGGAATTTTATTCCATCATTTCCATAAGAATTATATTTAATTACTTCAGTTTTAAAAAATTGCATCATTAAGCTATTGGTTGCATATTCTCTGTGTTGTCTTTACAAGTGGGTCTGCCTTCATTTCTGGAATGTCACCAACTTATAAAAACGGACTGTTGCTTGCTGAATTTGTTTGTTTCATTTTAGTTTTTGTAAAAGGCTAATCAAAAAGTCCAGATTGAGCCTTATCCCTTAAAACCCTTTGTGAAACATCACTTTGAAGTTACTAAAGTTCTGCCTTGAAGCCAACAATGCTATAAACAATGCTTTAGCTCTACTATTTATTTATTTATTTATTTATTTATTTATTTATTTGTTTGTTTGTTTGTTTGTTTAACCATTTACAGCCTGATCCCAGCCTCCTCCCTCTTCTTTTCCCAGTCCCACCCTCCCCTTCCCCCTCTCCCCAAGGGGTACTAAGCCCCAAGGGGTACTAAGCACCCCCCCCAGGCATTTAAGTAGCAGCAGGATTAAATGCATACTCTACCACTAAGGCCTGATAAGGCAGTCCAGCTAGGGTAAAGGGAGTCAAAGGTAGTCAACAGAGTCAGAGATAGCCCCTACTCCCATTGTTAGGGATCACATGATGGCCAAGCTATACATCTTTCACCTCTGCTACATATATGCAGGGGGCCTAGATCCAGCCCATGCATGCTCTTTGGTTGGTGGTTCCATCTCTGTGGGTCCCCATGGGCCGAGGTTAGTTTACTCTGTAGGTCTTCTTGTGGTGTCCTCCAACTCCTCCTTCCTCAATTCTTCTTCCCACTCTTCCACAAAAACTCCCTGAGCTCTGTCTATTCTTTGGCTGTGGGTCTCTGAATCTGTTTCCATCAGCTGCTGGCTGAAACCTCTTGGGAGACAGTTATGCTAGGCTCCTGTCTGCAAGCATAGCAGTCTCATGAAGAGTAACAGGGGCTGGCTTTCTCTCATGGGGTGGGTCTCAAGTTGGGCCAGTCATTGGTTGGCCATTCCCTCAATCTCTGTTCCATTTTTATTCCTACACTTCTTGTTGGCAAGACAATTTTGGGGTCGAAGCTTTTATGGGTGGGTTGCTGCCCCCTTCTCACTACTGGAAGTCCCAGCTGGCTACAGGAGGTGGCCACTTCAGCTCCTTAACCTTCACTGCTAGAAGTCTCAGCTAAGGTCACCCCCATAGACTCCTAAGTGCCTACCCTGTCCCAGAAATGCCCACCATTGACAAACTTCTGTTCTCTCCCAGTCTTCATCCCCACTCTTCCCATACCTGTTCCCTACCCTGTCTCTCAAGAAGATCCCTCCAGCTATCTCCTTCAGATGTCTATTTTATTCCTCCTTTTGAGTGAGATTCAAGCCTCATCACTTGGGCCCTCCTAGGCTTCTTTGGGTGTGTGGATTATACCATGGTTATCCACTTATAAGTGAGTACATGTGCTCTTTGATTAGGAGAGATGAGAAGGGTCAGTACTTTCATTATCTGTAGCACTGTGGAACACGAGATGATTTGAGACAGGATCTTCAGAGCTTAGGCCTGTCCTGAACTCATTAGTTAGCTGTGCTGGCCCTGGATTCCTTATCTTCCTGCTTCTACTTTCCAAGTTCTGGGAATATAAGGAAGTTCTGGGTATATGAGTGTTACTCACATTCCCAGCTTCTGAAATAAAAAGTTAAAAAGTTTGAAAACAAAACAGGGGTCCATGCTTATTTCCCAGCACTCAGGACTCAGAGGTATGAGGATTGCGATTGTGTGTCCAAAAGAAACCCACACCCTGAAGAAGAAAAAGAAGAAAAGAAGCAGTGTGAATATCATACCACAAAATAAGTGGTTTTATTCACAAATGTATGCCCTAAGTAATCACACTGAGGAAGAATATGCTAAGAGAAAGTGTTTGGTTTTTCAGACATGGTTTCTCTGGGTAATAGCCCTGAATGTCCTGGACTCACTTTGTAGACCAAGCTGGCCTGAAATTAAAAAAGATCTGCCTGCCTCTGCCTCCCAAGTGCTGGGATTAAAGGTGTGAACCACCATGCCCAGCCTTCAAGTGGACCTTTAATCACAGGATTTGGGAGGTAGAGGCAGCAGAGCTGTAAGAGTTTGAGTCAGCCTGCCTTATGCTGGAAGTTGCAGGCAGCCGAGGCTACAAAGTGAGACCCTGGTTCAAGAAACAAAATAGTAGCAAAGAAAATTAAGCTGCAAGCCGCTACCTCCCCAGTGCACCTACATATACCACTCGGAGACACACAGAAACACAGACACACACACATACACACACACCAATGATAAGGAAGGGCGGAGCTGCACAGCGCTTGCCTGCCTAACAAAGTTTTAGGATAATATTACATACTAATTCTTCATTTTTCCCCCTCTCCCTTTTAAAAAAAATCACAGGCTCTGTGGAAACTTACAAAGTAGTGAAGGGGATGGTGGGTCACCCTGCCACACTTCCATGTACTTACTCAACAGTTCATGGAGTCACAACCACATGTTGGGGCAGAGGGGAATGTCAACATTTTTATTGTGCAAGAACCCTTATCTGGACCAATGGACACCGTGTCACCTATCAGAGCAGCAACCGATACCAGCTAAAGGGGAACATGTTGGAAGGAAATGTGTCCTTGACAATAGAAAACCCTGTTCAGAGTGACAGTGGTCCCTATTGCTGTATAGTGGAGATTCCTGGATCTTTCAGTTATGAGACCATTTCGTTCGAAGTTATGCCAGGTAAGCTTTCTTTGTTTATTTCTTGCAAGTGATTGGAGTTCAGTGTTTGCTAAAAATTTCTCTTTTCCTGTAACAAGGAGACAGAAGGTCAAGTGATTGGAGTCCAGTGTTTGCTAAAAATTTCTCTTTTCCTGTAACAGGGAGACAGAAGGTCAAGTGATTGGAGTCCAGTGTTTGCTAAAAATTTCTCTTTTCCTGTAACAAGGAGACAGAAGGTCCTTATGAACATGTTTGTGATTAAACGCTTGCTTTTGATTTTTCTTAAAAGACATAATCTCATGTATGTCATGTCCTGAGAACACAGGCAAGTACCACCAAAACCAGCCTTAAATATTCTCCTTTGAGTAACAGAAACAACTTTATTTGCTTGGATGAGGTCCTAGGATCAACCTTAATTCAAGAACAGCATCCATGTCCTAACTGCACTTGGGACAGAAATGTTTGGTCATGAAACTGTGCTCACTTCGATCCTGAAACACTGTGTATTTGATGCTGAGTATATTTGACCTTAAAACCTGCCTCTTTTCCACGATTATATCTTAGGACATTAAAATACCCTTCTCAACATTTTAAAATTGTAACAGCTCTAACCTGAAAGCAGGCAATTCAGGGTGCTGCTGCTCAGATGAGGTGGTTTCAACAATGGTCAGCTGACCTCTTCCTTTTTCCTTCCTTTATTTATTTATTTTTTGAAACAGGATTTCTCTGTGTAGCCCTGACTCTCCAGGATCTTGTTCTGTAGGCTAAGCTAGCTGAGCTCAAACTCATGAGATCTGCCTGACTGCCTCCTGAGAGCTGAGATTAAAGGCATGGGCCACCACCTCTGGGCTTTACATTTTCCTTCTTGTAGATGTCCTAGTTTTCTTGCATTGACTAAAAGAGTGGATTCATGAGGACTTCCTTGCTTCTCGTGCTCTTCCTAATCTGCTTTTACTAAGGCCTTACACTGACAATAGGAATCGGCATTAACCTCTCTATGTATCTTTAAGCTGAGACCATTATTGTGTAGTTTCTCAGCTTCTAGACTTCATTATTCATTTATTTATTCATTTATTTTTCTGCTTAATTTAATTTTTAAACTGTTTTTGTTACTGTGTATGTTCAGAAAATGTGTGTAGTATAAATACCATGATGGATTTGTCAGAGGGCAAACTACACAGGGTTTCTCTTTGTAGCCTTGGCTATTCTGGAACTCAGTATGTAGACGCAGCTGGCCTCAAACTCACAGAGAACCACATGGCTCTGCCTCCCAAGTGCTAGGATGAAAGGCGTGTGCCACCCCCACCCCTGCAGACGGCAAGTTTATGGAGTTGGTATTTTATACTTTTATATGAGTTCTAGGGTTCTAAGTCAAATGGTCAGGCTTGCCAGTCAAATGCCTCTACATATTGAACCATTTTTCTGGCTCCCTGTTCATTGATTGACTGTTCGTTTATTTATTTATTTATTTATTTTGAGGCTGGGCCTTTCTTTGTAAATCAGAATGACCAGGGATTTCTTGCCCATGCCTTAGCCTCCACAGTGTTAGGATTACAGGAATTTGCCACCACACCTTGTTATGGTGAGGTCCATTCTGACAAAACAAACAGCTGACTTGGAGAATTATGCCTGGAAGGGACTATAGGGAAGCCAGAAAATGCTGGTTACAGAAGTGTGTAAAGAATGATGGAGGAGGCAGCCCTGGGGGAAGAGACAATAAGGTTCTGAGTGCCTTTTCACAGTTGTGAAATTATATTTCTTACTGACTGAAGCTTAATGACGCTGTCCTCCATGGGTATTTGCTCTTTGAGAATAAACCCACATTTATGTACATACACACTACACACACAAAGAGAGAGAGAAGAGAGAGAGAGGAAGGGAGAAGAAGAAGGAAGGAGAGGAAGAGAGGAAGACAGGGAGGAAGGAAGGGAGGGAGGGAGAGAGAAATAGATCTAAAAAGAATGCCATAGGGAATGCATTGACATTTGTCAAGCTTGCCTGAAACCTTAGGTTTCGTCTTGTCTCTACAACTCCAAACAAGCAATAATAACAAAATAGGAGCTGAGGCTGTACCTTGGGAAGGCACTTGTCTAGCACACATTTCTACATAAATCCCTGGGGTTAAAGTCCCAGCACCAGAAAGTGGATGGGAATGACATCATAGCATAGAATTGTTAATTTCATACAGCTTAATTATTAATTTTATACAGCTTAGAAATTGGCTAACAGCTCAGTGCTTACAAAGCCACTCGGTGAGCCCACAGCGAGCTGGCATCTGTTTTGTTCTTTAACAACCAAGTCTTTGTATTTTCTCATGGTCTAATGGTCTAAACACACTGAACTCCTCCTCAGCTGTCCCAGGACCCTCATCAGAGCAAGCAGAGAAAGCACCTGAGCTGGTTGCTTCTTTCCTGGGTTTTGTTCTCATAGTGACCTTCTGACTGGATTTTTTGCATGCTTGCCTTTCTTTCCACTTCAAAACTATATACTGTCCAGACAGGGTTTGTATTGTGCTGAATCTTCTGCCAATGCATTAGATTGGATCAGCCAGCTAGAGCCTAGGGCCAGAGCAGGTTTTAAACAGACCCACTCGCTGGTGTGAATAGATTTATTGCAGCACAGCCACACCCACTCTTTGCTAAGATGAAGGGCTGCGTGGTGTGTCCTCTCAGGACAGACTGAAATGAGTGTGCTGTGTCTGGAAACTGTGAATAGATTTAGTCACCGCTGAGAGAAGTTCCAGCCCCCATACCCTCTCAGTCTCCCAGAGACGCTTAGATAGATCTGAGGATCTGACATTTGTCATTCATAACGTGTTTTCATGGGAACATGGGCTCTGTTCACATCCATGGTGTCAGTACAGCCTGTGGCTGAGCCTGTCTCCACTGTCCTGGACTGCCACATCCTAGCTGGTCAGCGACAAAGAACAGAAGTTCAGGAAAGGAGCCTCTGCCTGGGACAGCCTCTCATGGGTGCTACAGCAGAAGCTCTTGTCTTTTCTTGCTCCACTGATCCTTGTTTCATCTTGATTTTCAAATCCAGAAATTCTCACAAGTCATCCAACAAGACCCACAACTACAACAAGACCCATGACTATTTTAACAAGACCCCCAACTACTACAAGACCCCCGACTTTTTCAACAAGACCCACACATGGACCAACATCAACCAGAGTCTCTACCTCTACTCCTCCAACACTAGCTTACACGCAGACTGAACCAGGTAAACCCATGTGTATCAGGGTGAGAGTCCTTATAGGAGGTGGTTGGACACACAGAGACTGTATCAAGTCAGAAGTGTAATGCCAGTGAAGAGTTCTGAACTGAGTCCCAAACAACAGCTTGACAGGGTCTCTGATTTTCCAATCCTAAGTTCCACTCCCTCTCTGCTCTGTAAGAGGCTGGTGATGGAGGACTCTCATCTCTCTTTTTCAGATTCCCAGGGGATTCACTACTAGCCAGACAGGTGGATCATTGCTCTAGAATAACTGATGAGGTCGTGGGAATCTGGGCATGACTTTCTGATGAAAAAAAAAAAAGTAGGGACCAACTGAGAACTAGGGTCAGGGTAGGTACACTCTGGACCCTTCACATCCTTTCTCAGATTGTGCCATCCAGCTGAGGTCATAGTTCAGTGAAGTGAACATTTAGTGTTTCCTGAGCACCAGGCATCATACAGCAAGCTATATGATGCAGTGTTTAATTTTCAGAAAGCTATGTCTGATATAGTTGGGATCTGTCCCTATTTTATAGTCACAGGAATTGACAAAGTCATAAAGTTCATGGTGGAAGTTATGAAGACAGAAAGTGAGTAGTAACTTGACTTAAGGATGGGGAAAAGTTACAGGACATGGTGGAGCATGTCTGTAATTCCAGCACTCAGGAAGGCAAAGGCAAATGGATCTCTGTGAGTTTGAGGTCAGCTTGATCTACAAAGCAAGTCCAGGACAGCCAACGCTACACAAAGAAGCCCTGTCTCAAAAAAAAAAAGTTTGTCATCCAGAAGGCAAGTTCAGGTTCATGCCTTTACATTTAGGAGTCAAAAGACAGCTGTTTAGAGAGGTTCTCAAAGCAGAAGAAGGCACACAACCTTTTTTTTTTTTTTTTTTTTCTGATGAGAGTTGATTTCCCTCGCCTCTCATTGGTCTTCAGGTGCTTTCAAGCATCAGGACCCTGAAGGACTGGACTACAGGCTAAGTTTGCAGAGGCTCTAGGTTATAACTGTGATTTTAGAGCACAGGATTTGTGAGAAAATCCACTTTGTTCCAGGAAGCTGCACATACTATACAACTGTGAGGATCTCTCAGAATTGACAGAGCTTTTCAATAGTTTTTGGCGCTTCAGAGGTTGGGCCTATGGGCTGAATTTGGAGAACATAGATAAGTTACTGACTTCATTAAAAACAGACGTATAGTTGTGTCCACAAGACATCTTGGTGTTGGTATTAGTGTAATCTTATTTTTCTATTGTTAGTTTCCTGAAGATTACAGTTGAGGCTTGAAGTGTCCAGCCCAGAGAGAAGGCCAAACTCTGGTGACTAAGAAAAGGACGCAAATCTTCACACCCACTTCTTGTGCTCCTCTTAGCTATCCAAAATTCTATTCATGGAATATAGAATGTGACATTGTAAGGACTGTGGAGAAAAGTTGACACCGGCGGGGGAAACAAGTTAAGCTCATTATGTCTTTCACCAAGAACTAAATGTGTGGCTTGTGGGTATCTAATATTTGTGTCGTCCTATTTTTAATTCAGAAGGACAGTCACATCCTCTTCCATGTCTGAGTGTGAGGGTAAAACAGGACAGAGGTGCAGAGCAGGAGGCTGTTGTTCAGATGGAAGGATCAGGTGGGAGTGAGGCAGGGGATCCAGAAAGGGCCATGAGGAAGCTCAGGTTGAGGAATTCCTGTCTGGCCACAAGCAACTTACTCTAAGACCCTGTGTTGTTATGAGAGGGGAAGCATTTATAGAACTCAGAGAGAGGCAAGTTGCCAGCTCTTCATTCATGGGGAAAATGTAGGGACTCCAGGAGGAGAAAGGAAATCATGGGTTTCACTAGAAAGTTCCATGTAGAAGCCTTTGGTGAAAAGTGGAAGATTAGTCATATAACAGGAAATCATTCTTAGTAAAGGAATCAGTCGGGGAGAGGAGAGCATGTCTCAATCAGTCACTCACTCAATCAACCAACCGGGAAGTAAATAAGTTAAAAATAGAGAGAGAGCAATGAAGAAAGGAGAATTCCACAAGGCAAGGAAGGCTGCAGGATCGGAATCTTCATTAGAATGATACTGCTACCTTGACAAGAACTCAGAGATGAAATTGTACATCTATTTCACAATGTCCAGTGAGCCCATCTCACTAGAAAGAAGTGTGAATAATCTTGACCTTGAATAAGGCCTGCAGTGAAGAGGGTAGTGAGAAATTTCCAGGCACATTTTCTAGGAAGTGGAATGCCCCTTGGCTTTATGTATCATAATCTTAACTGAGCATCCTATTCTCCATGTGTTAATATGGAGAATATTAACACTATATGTTCCAGAGGAGTTCAGAGTCTAGAGTAGAAAGCATGAAATACATCTGAATGTGGATAAAGTTGTCATACTTGCTTAGGGTAGTGAAATAATTACACAGACAGTGGCCATCTTGGATACGTTTCTAAGAGAAGCCAGCAGATGCAGAAGTGGAAAGGAGGGAGAAGACATTCCTGCTTAGGAAGTTTGGGGGAGGTACTGTAGAATGGAGATGGTAAGTTTTGGGTTTGTTTCCATTTTCCTTGGTCAGGGCCAACCTCCTTCACAGCTGAAAAAATTCTTTCATTGTTGTCATTCCAGAAACCACTACATTTACTCCATATGAGACGACAGCTGAGGTGACAGAAACTCGATCCTATATCCCTACAGGTAAGTATGTTTACCTTGTTGAACCTCTTGGATGGTCTAGATCTTGGTAAATCTGGTGTTGAAGAGCCCACACTCTGCCACAAGACAGATCTGACATTGAAAGCGGTGGCAAGGACAGAGGCTGAGTTCCATGCTACTCCTCACAGCAGCCTGAAAGGATCCCTTCTTCATGGGACCCTCCATTCAGGCCTAACTAGGCAGTGGAGATTCTTTGATGAAAAGAATGTCAGGGAGAGCCAATGTGATGGAGAGTGGGAGGTTTATCAATAGATATTTAGCACAGATCCTAAGCACAGTGGTCATTAAGAAGAGAGATGTTTTGGAAAGCAGTAGGACACACTGGGGCATGCAAATGGGCTTCTCCACGAGGAGCTCATTGGGCTTCTGTACATTACATATGTTGGTGGCTCTCAAACTGAATCTCTGGAGCTTTCCCAGAAGTGCCCCTTCCTCCCTCCCCCAATACAGCTGTTTGTTTTGAAATAATGCTCCAAGATGTCATTCACAGTCACTACATCTATATTTAATATATTTTCTATATTTAAATAATCTTCTTTCATAACAGTGTTGTCACGTACCTTTCTGAGGGATATTTGTTTACATTTAGGAATGAGAGAGAAGGGCAAGGCTCTACATCATATGAACTTCAACAAGCGTGACTTGTTTATTGCATCAGGTGACACAGTTTGAGATGTTGTCTCAACCTAGTCACTGCCTTTGGCTCCTTGAAAGGGCTCTCACACTGAGTAAAATGTAAACACAGTAAGGTGGGAACTGAGGAGGGTCAAGGTTGTCCATCTGTGTTTGTGCAGTTGTTAGGGACTTCCATGCGTGGACACTGTGTGTGTGTGTGTGTGTGTGTGTGTGTGTGTGTGTGTGTGTGTTGCCCACAGAGATGTTTGTCATTTGCTAAAATTAGAAACATAACCACAGGGTGCAGTGGTGCACTCTGGGAGGCAGAGGCAGGCCGATCTCTGAGTTTGAGGCCAGCCTGGTGTACAAAGTGTGACAGCCAAGGGCTACACAGAGGAACCCTTACCTGATGTTTGCTTCTTCACCTGTAAATGCAGGTGAGGGGATCTTTGTCAGAATGTCATATCCTTCTATATGCCAGATACTCAGTGGGAAGAGGATTCTGTGTTTCATTCATAGACATATAGAAATGATGAAAACAATATATTTCTTGTTACAAGATAGACATTTTAAAAAATAATCTGAATAACTAAATGTTCCAAACTTGCTTCTCAGTAACACTCCTGCCAAATTAAATCCCAACCTTCACAGGGTAAAAGACACACTGACTTTGTGGATATTATTTACAGATGTGTTAAAGATCTAAATTCTTGTATTTGTTGAACAGATTGGAATAACACTGTGACATCCACAGATGACTCTTGGAATTATAGCACTGTAAGTATTATTCCTCCCAAACTTATTAACCATGTTTCCTTATAAATCTTTCCTGAAGTGCTTTTTATTTAAGGATTGTATCTTTAAAATTAGTTCACAGACATTTGCATCAAAAAAAGAATAAGAAAAGAAAAAGAGTCAGATACAGTGATATATTCCTTGTTCTTAGAACTCAGGAAGTTCATACAAGATAAAAAGTTGGAGGCCAAACTAGACCACTAGGTAACTTGCGCTACAAGGTGAGACCTGGTCTCAAAAACTGTACACAAATAAATTTATAATCATATAAAATAAAGAAATTAAAATGAATTTTATACTTACTATGGATGTTTGAATTCAAGAAGTTCATTTAGGAAGCCCTACTATTGTTTTCCTACCCTCTGACCACTCTCTGTACAGCCCACTGGTGATTTTTTTCCACAAACAAACCTACCTATAAGGCATTAAGGTCTTAGATATTTTAAATTTTGCATGATTTCCCCTAGACTTTTTGTATACCAAACTTGAGAAAAACCTACAGCACTCCACTTGCAGAATTTTTGCCAGAGTTCTATCTCTACAAATGGAGGAGATACATTTATCAATTGATTTTTTTTTCCTCTTGGCTCCAGGAAGAAACAAGGTTTGTTTTAGTACATGTAAGTAACATAGGAGAAATGGGTGATAAGGCAAGAAAAAAGTCAGATATGAAGTGGTGAGGATTATTTGACCATTGAAACCAGCAGAGTCTTTGCTGGCATGTACAAGGCCTTGGGTTTGAACTGCCCAAAACCCAACAACAACAAATTCAAGACAAGATAGAGATATCTACATATGGACAAATGGCCTTATGCCTTACCTATTGACAGTCAGAACATAATACGCAAACACTGATAGTAACTTTCTTTTGTTCGTTTTTTGAGACAGGGTCTCATGTAGTCCCACTGACCTTGAACTTACTGGATAACTCAGGATAACCCTGAACTCCTGATCCTGCTGCCTCCAACTCCCAAGTACTGAAATTATAGGTGTGGGTCCCACCATAACAGCCCCTTCCTTGGAGATATCATCTCATTTTGTAGCTCAGGCTGTCCTAGAACTCCCAATCTTCCTGCCTCAGCCAACTGAGGACTGCGGTTACAGGCCTGTGTTACCTTGCCCAGTCTGAGAAAGAAAGGTGATGACTTATTTGACATTAGCAGCCAGTGGTCTGACAGATACAGGAAAAAAAAAAACTCTATATACTAGTCAATTATTAATGTTGCTAAGAGACCAGACTTATGGGTTAGGTATAAAACCAACCAGCATTGCCTACTGAGATTGTTCTTGCCCTCAGTCACCTGTGAAACAGTCATGGTTCATAGCAAGGAAGAAAAAATTAGTTAAGTTCAAAATTAGTAGCAGAGTCTGACCTTTGAAGTTGTCAGGCTCTCTGTAGATGCATTGAAAACAATTCAGAGCAGCACACAGCTTTGTTTTCAAGGTGTTTGTTGGTTTGCTTGTTTGAGACAGAATCCCATGTAGCTCAAGTTGGCCTTGAAATTGCTATGTAACTGGAAAGAGTCTTGAACTCCCAACCGTCCTGCTTCCACCTCTCAGGCTCTGAGATTAAGGTGTGCACCCCATGCCTTGAATCAGTACATCAACTTCATGAATTCTAGCTCATGAAAAGACTGAACAAAATTTGGGAAGATGAATGAGAAAGGATGGGCATTGCTGCCATTCATAATCAGGAAGATGTTATGAAGTAGATGTTCACGTGGGCATGGTAGACCCCTGTGATCCAAGCACTCAGGAGGTGGAGGCAGGGGAATCAACATCATCTACAGTGCTGACCGCTTGGCACTGGATTTTTATAAAGATGTGGAGTCTTGAATTGCAGTCACAAGACAAGCAGGGTCTGTGATGAAAGACCAGATCCAGGAGCTGAGGACACCGAGAGAAAATTAACTTAGAGATGAGCTATATTTTTCTCTTCATGAAATGCTGCATTTAGGGAATACCCTACTGACTAGGAAAGTAGACATTACAAACAGGATGTATAAACATTAAGCATGTGGTTAGAATTCTGACTGAGGTGTACACATGTGATCTCCTCGAGCAACATGGAAGACCTTTCCATCATCATCAAAAACACCTTGAATTCACATGTTTCTGAGTTCCACTGCCCAGTACCAGCTCACAACCTTGGGTCTTCATTGCATATTCCAGCCCATCCACAGGCCAGTATGCTGAAGGTCTAAGTTTAAGGCCTAGAATATGTTTTCTGTTCCTCTTCCTTGGTGCCTCTTTTGTTTACTGCTTTTTTATTATCACTGTTACCCTACTTATTGTTTCCTCAGGAAGTGATCCCTATGCCAAAGTCAAAGAGGAACATGACTAAGTGCTTCTATGTTGGCATCTCCATTGCTGCTCTGGTGCTGCTGCTGCTGCTTCTGAGCACCGTGGCTATCACCAGTAAGTGATTTCACGGCTGTCTTTAGGGAAGGAGAATCAGGGTTGCAGTCCCTCTGACTGTCTTTAAGCAAGTGCACATGCCACAGGGGTTTTGAATTCTCATGTGTTCTATATCTTCAGATCCAAGACACACATGGTAAGCCCTCTACTCCCCAAGGGTTGTGTTAGGACCTACAAAGCACTGCAGGTGACTTCTGGTACTTGGTGAGAGCTCACTGATCTTAAACCATTGCTACTATGTCTCCAAAGACCCTATTCTGTAAAGCGTGCTCTGGAGGCAGAAGCAGGTGGATCTTTTTGAGTTCAAAGCAAGCCTGGTCTACAGAGTGAGTTCCATGACAGCAGAAGCTACACAAAAAAACCTGTCTCGGAAAAAAAAAAAATCAAGAATATTCCTGTCAAACTTCATGATGCCTCCTCTAATTATTTACAACTTGTTTATCTGAAATGACTATTTAAGCTGACTCTAGTGGCAAGTGCCTGTTATGTCAGCATTACAAGTCTGTCATTAGCTTGGGCCACAGACCAGATGCTGTCTAAAAGGGAGACTTATTCAGAACTTGAGCAAAATTCCACAAGTGTGTGTCTTTCCTTAGTCCAAAGCTGTTTATTCTCCCCTCACGGACTTGTTCTCTTGCAGCCCGTTAGAAAAATCTAGGCTTCTTTGTTGTTCCTTTTATGATCAGTGATTTACCAGTGTCATTCTAGCAAATTAGGCTAGGCGGGTGAAAATACCAAACAGTGAATAAGAAGATCTTCTTGTGCAGTTCAAGAAGGCTACCAGGGGGTGGCTCAATTAGAAACAGAAACAATATCTTTGATTAGAAGAAAATATCATGAGTGTTTCTGATGACATGCTCAATTTTCCTTTCAACTTCTCTCACGGCTTCTCACCCCAATGTAGGGCACGTGCTTATGAAAAAGAAGTCGAGGTCTCTAAGGTAAGCTGTCATGGATTATATTGATTCTTTTTGAACAATCTTGAGAATTTCCCTAACTGCTTCTGAAAATGGGAAAAAAATAGTCCTTTTAGTTGGAAGAACACAACATCTGTCTCTGTATATCTCTCATTTCTGTGTTCTTTTATGCAAACAATTTGAAGGGTTCCAACATGAGCTTCTTTTTTTTTAAATTATTTTTTTCTTTAGTTATTCTAATGCCTACTAAACAAATGCTTCTACAGCTTAATACCAAGGTCCTGTGTGGTGCTGGTGACTGTTGCAGTTTTTGTGCACGGGGCTCCCTGAGTCCTAAGTACACATCATAACTGAAAGCTCTGCTCAGACCTGACAGGTGACCTTTTCTTTCTTTAAATCCTCCCTCTTCACCCTCTCCATAGTTTGGTTGCCTTCCCTGCTGCTAAGATTGGAGCTTTGCTGAGCACAGTGGTCGTGCCAGCCAGAGGGGAAGCCAGGATCTACATTATTGAAGACAGTCGATACCTGGAGGAATGAGTCGCAGTGGCCTTCTGAGGGGCCTTCTGCCTTAGACCACAGAGACTGTAACAGCATCGCACTGTTACAGCTCCAGTGCAATTTGCTGTGTCGGTTCTGCCAGCTAGAGTGGAGAGGGTGACACTGAGCTGTGTGTACTCAAAAAACTCAAGGCTCACATCATCCTAAGTCAACACTGCCTCAGCCCCCTGGGGTGCTGGATCTTTGTCCACATTCCCAGTGCTGTTCTACAGAGTTCTGGGAAATGAGTATGTGTCTAACTGTTCTTTTTTGCCTGCTTGCTGGCTGGCTGGCTTTTGTAAAGTCTGATTGTGGAAAGTTGCCTTCTGGGTTTGCCAAATGTGGCTTCCCTCGTGTGCTCTAAAAATGATCGTGTTTGCCCGGCACAGTGATGCACACCTGTAATCCCAGCACTCTGTGAGTTTGAGACCAGCCTGGTCTACAGAGTGAGTTCAGGACAGCCAAGGCTACAGAGAAATCCTGTCTTTAAAAACAAACAAACAAACAAACAAACAAACAAACAAAACAAACAAACAAACAAATAAATAAATAAAAATGATTGTGTTTGATCTGCAGTGTTTTCTTTCTCTTAAATTTGCAGCGACTGTACGTCAAACCAGGGCTTTAGCAATGACAGCTCAGATTTGCAGCTTTTCTAGAGAGATTAGTCAAGACCAGCCTGAGTCCTAGAGTGGTGAGGCCACTAGATGGCGCCACCCACTCCCGCACTCTTCTTGCTGTGTCTCTCATCCCTGCCTGGCAGCTGCAGGGCTGAGCTTCTGGTGCCTGCTCTCGCCAATCTTCCTAGTGATTTAATCCAATTCACCCATGTCCTGTGAGGCTACACGCAATAAGGTGAAGATATCTGGCCCACATGAACTTGAAAAAAACAAATGTCCAACTGTTGGGCAGAGTGCATGGAATCTTATGAAAGAAGTGGGAAACAGTAAGATCTGGAGGGGACAGGAAACCCACAAGGAGAGTAACAGAACCAAAAAATTTGAGCACAGAGATCTTTCCCGAGACTGATAGTCCAACCAAGGACCATTCATGGAGATAACCTAGAACCCCTGCACAGATGTAGCCCATGGCAGTTCAGTGTCCAAGTGGGTTCCATAGTAATGGGAACAGGGACTTCCTCTGACATGAACTGATTGGCCTGCTCTTTGATCACCACCCCTTGAGGGGGAGCAGCCTTACCAAGCCACAGAGGAAGACAATGCAGCCACTCCTGACGAGATCTGATAGACTAGGATCAGAAGGAAGGTGAGGAAGACCTCCCCTATCAGTGGACTTGGGGAGGGGCATGCATGGAGAAGGGGGAGGGAGGGTAGGATTAGGAGGGGAGGAAGGAGGGGCTTATGCGGGAATACAAAGTGAATAAAGTATAATTAATAAAAGTTAAAAAAATGGCATGTCAATTTTCAAAGTGAAGAAGCGATAGTTTTCATTAATGAAAGTGTGTGACACCTTGATGACCATCGTGGCTAAACACTTAAACTTTATGAAACTTCACACATCTTATAAAGCCTCTGGTGATAGCTGTGTACAATTTTGAGAGCAATGAAGATGGGATGGTGAGTGGTAGACTTTGGCCACCTGCACTTCCACAGGACACGGGCAAAAACTTTGTCATGATTCAAGCAGGTGCTAGGAACTGGCATGGGGATGAACTGTTTGCTGAGAGATCTTATCAGAGTCTCTAGTCTGCCCACTGTGAACCAACCACACTCTCGTTGTGGCTGCTAGAAATGTCCGCCGAATGACAATGCTACAGAGAACCTCTCTGTCAGAGGGAACAGCGTTAGCCTGTTCGCAGGGTCTGTCCCTAGGAATGAGCGATATGAAAGATAAAAGCAAAGGCATGTTGCCTAATGTGGTGGTTTAACCAGGACTGACTTCATAGACCCATGTGTTTGAATGCTTGGCGCGTCAGGAGTGACAATATTGGAGTAGTGGCCCTGTGGGAGGAAGTGGGTCACGGTGAGGAAGGCTTTGAGGTCTTAAATGCTTAAGCTAAGCCCAGAGTGGCATGTGTCCTCTGCTGACTGCAGATCCAGATCCAGAGCTCTCAGCTTCATGTCTGCGTGAGTGCTGCCATGATTCCCATCGTGACGATAATGGACTAAACCCCTGGAACTGTAAGCCAGCTCCAATTAAATGTTTCTCTTTAAAATAGTTGCTGTGGTTGTGGTGGCAGGTCACAGCAATAAAACCCTAAGACACCAAGTGAATGTTTCCTGAAAGGAATCTACTAACTACAGAGGCTCCTGGATTGGAGGAAACTGGATTATTCAGAGAGGAAACTGTGTCTACAGGACTGAAGTGTCTGTCTGGCTGCCATCAAAGAAGGGAAGAAGGTGGGGGGGGGGAGTGAGAATGGAAAGATACGCAGAGAAACTCACAGGGTCTGGATGATAAGGGACACAAGAGCACATCTATTTGAGAGGAGTCCCACTCTTAGAAAACATAGCATTTTAATATTTAAAGATATACCTGCTACATAGTGTACATTGTTTTAGAATATAAGAATTTGTTTCAGCCGCATGGGTCTAAGGGAGCTGGCTTGGTTTGGATAATGAAGCAGTAGAGGAAAGGCAGATAATTTACAAAACATCTTCTATTAAAGATTATAATAGGTTTTCAGACAGGAAGTGAGGGGAAAGGGTAATCTACAGAGCATGTGGTCATCCAAGCCTAAGAAGGAGCGTGAAGAAAGCATACGGGATTGGAGACTTAGCCCTAAGTACTCTGGGTCCATCAGGAGCAGAATGCAAACTTCTGGCTTTGAGGTAGTGATGGTGTAGAAATTACGATGGTCTGTAGCTCTGTTTCAGTACAAAGCACCTGGCCATGCTGTTACATCAATGGATGCTGAAGCCTCTCACAACTATATTGCAGCCTGTTTCTTTCAGAATTCTTATCATTAAAATGGCCACATTACAAAAGTGTTTGATAGATTTGGTGTGATCTCATCAACATTGTAATGTCCTCTTCTCAGTGCTATTAAAAAAAAAAAAAACAGACATAATTAAAATACAAATGGAAGTACAAAAGATCCTGAACAAACAAAGGTGTCTTAAGCAAAAAGGGCCAAAGCTGGACACATCACTCTTTCTGATCTCAAGACATAGCACAGTAACCAAGACTACACAGTATTAGCATAAAAAACTAATACAGACTGAATGTAATAGAGGTTCCTGAAATTTTTCCCCAAATCTACACCTTGACAAAGGTGCCAAAAATCATATGTGAAAAAAGTCCAGTGTGTTCAATAAATTAGAACTGGGAAAACAAGGTATCAAAATACAGAAGAATGAATTTAAATTTTTAAGGCAAGGTCTCAAATAGACCATGCTGGCTCAAACTCCCTAAGCAGCTGAAGATGAGCTTCTCAAACTGAGCCTCCTCTCCCCCGTGCTGTGTTTACTATTGAGTACCAGGACACCTTGCCAGAAGAAACAAAGTTAAACCTCTTCTTGCACTTTTTAAAAAAAAAAACCAAAACAATCCCAAACAACAACAGAATACCCTGAAAATGGATCCAAGGCCTCAATGTAAATTACGAAACTAAAGGAATAAGACAAGAGAAACACTTCAAAGTACTGGTATGGGATCATGATATTGGTTTTAAATTAAAAAAAAAAAAATCAAGGACACATACAACAAAGCAAACAGAAAAACAAAGCTATGAGTTAAGAAGCTTCATCAAAGGCAAGGAGATAGTCAAGTGTGAAAGGACTACCTATGCAGCGGGAGAAAACATTTGTGAATGATCCTTCCAACAAAGAAGACTCAACAACAAAAAGTAATCCATGTAGAATGTGATCAAATGTCCTGAATAGACATTCCTCAAAAGTCAAAACACAAATGAACAAAAAGCATATAGAAAACTCTTTTACACCATTAGCTAGCAGGAAAATGCAAACAAGAACCACAATGAGTCACTGTGTGGTTAGTTTTAAAACGAAATGTCAACTCGGCCACAACCCAAAGCCACATGAGGAAGTCTCAATTGAGGGAATTGACTAGAACTGACCGGCCAGAGGTGGGCCTGTTGGGATATTTACTTGTTACATGACCCTGACCCAGTCCACTGTGGAAGCATTCCCAAAGCAGGTCCAGGGCTGTATGAATGTGGAGGGGGCTGGTGGAGAGCAAGCAAGCAGGCAGCAGCAGCCCATGTATTTCTCTCTGCTCTTGACTGTGAGTGTGGCATTCTCGGCCACTTTTAAGTTCGTGCCTTGACTTCCCCACACTACTTGACTATAAGATGGAATTGTAAGACACAGCTGAATTCGGCAGCACTCCCAGCCAGTAAGTTGATGTTTACAGAGTCCGTTAGCTAGAAGCAGTTCTGAAGAGCATGGCTAAAAGATCCTAAGTTCAGATCTGAAGTGATGGCGCCAGCTGTCTGTGAAAAACCCAGACCCCCACCCCCCAAAAATATTCTAACCAGTAATTCATACCTACATCTGAATCACTGGAGAGGTCCCCAACAAAAAAAGAGAGTGTGCAAAAAAAAGGTGGGAGGCAAATTAAATCCTGGCAGATGAATACATAAGAGGAATAAAGTACAGATTCTATGAACAAATGTACAAGACTAGGAAAGCTAAGCTGAGAGCCTCACTCCTCAGGAGAAAAAAAGTAGAGAGAATAAGAATAGTGATGGATCGGTCTAACACTGCAAAAAGATCAAATCTGAGAAATAACCACTGAAGTTATTTGGAACTCACACCGATGGCTTCATGGGATAATATACTCTTCTTCTATGACACAGCAGTCTCCCGTGTTCACAGGTTCACTTTCCACAGTTTTGGTTACCTGAAGTCAAACACAACTGGAAAAGAGTAAAACATTAAAAGAAGCAGTCCATGAATCAACAATTCATAAATGTTTGCTTGTAAGGAGCTCTGGGGAGGGTGATGGCACGTCACCCTGTTCTGTACCTTATTGAAATGTGAGTCACGCCATTGCTCAGCATCATGGCGCATATGCCATATGGGATATAGAACTGACCACTGAAAAGTATTGCAGGACTTGTATGTACCACCCAGCATGACCCTGTATGTTATGCATCGCCTAACATTGTAGAAGGTACCTTCTGCAGAGGGAAGCTACTGTATATTATTCATAAATATACTCATCCATTCAGTGGCCTTTTACATCTTATGTATTTACATATCCATTCACTCATTTTGGTTCCTCTTTCAATTCACTATTTCTTATCCTTCAATAATTTATTTTGTTTTTAATTTATTCTTTGATAATTTCATACATGAATACAACATCTTTGATCCCGTTTGCATCCCTTCCTCCATCTCCTCTATACTTCTCCCCATGCCCTGAATTTTTAGGCCCATTCCATCCTCTTTCTACTTCTCATATTTTTGTTCTGTTTTGTTTTTCGAGAAAGGGTTTATCTGTGTTGCCCTGGATGTCCTGGAACTGTCTCTGTAGAGACAGTAGACCATGCTAACCTCAAACGCAGAGAGCTGCCTGTCCTGGGATTAAAAGCATGTGTCACCATGTCCAGAAAGATTCCATGTTCTTTTTTTTAAACAAACAA